GGAGAAGCAGACTCCCTGCCGAGCAGGGAGCCCCATGTGGGGCTCAGTCCCGGGACCCTGGGATCATGACCTGAGCTGAAGACAGACGCTCAACCACATGAGCCACCAGGTGCCCCCACAGTTCCTTTCCAGCCTCAGGTCACGAGTCATCATTTTGCGGGCTGTTTCTGCACTGGCCGCACCATCTCTCCCCCTTTCGTCTGATTCCTCACTTGCACATCAGAAACGACCGTCAGATGCCTGGTGACGACAGGCTTCCTGCCACGCACGAGTGAAGAAGGTGGCCAGGAGCCCCGTGGGCACAGGCGAAGCTCAATGGCGCCGCAGCCCTCGAGCACACTGGCTTTGAGGTCTGCAGCGCACAGCACTTCTCCTCTTTTCTCCGGGATGTCACGCTCCTCTGAGGGCCCCGAGCCTCCCAGCGTCCCATCCGTGGCTGCCTGTTTCCCGCCGCACACCGGCTCCTCATCCCTCTGGCTGTCCGTGTGTGACTTCGCCCCGTCCGAGGGGGGCTGACACCTCCATCTACCTCTGTCTTTGTCTATGCTGTGGTTCTGAGTAACAGACTCTAACCCATTTTCGTTTCTTAACTGGAAGTTTCCTCCCGTTAGACCTTCGTGATCACGGACTTGCTCTGCCAGCTCACTCTGGTTGGTGGCCCAGTGCTTTTCTTCCTCTTTTCCAACTTATCCTTTTAACGATCGTAGTTGTTCACTTTGAATTACTGCATTTTTTCTTGCAGACTGAAAATATATACAGCTTACACTAATTAACATTAACTTATATTACACATATTTATTAAAGTCTGAAATTAAAGAGTCTTGTGCCCCTTCCCAGCTATAGGAGGGTCTTAGGACGTTTGCCCCCTTCATGGGCACACGATTGTCTGGTATTCCAGGGGACATTATTCTTTTATACAGACGTTTGGACCTCATTCATATGGGTCATTTTGCTTGCTCCCCACTCTGTGTCCTAAGACCATCATTCTGCAGTCATTTTCCCCCTCTTTGCTGTATAAACTTCAGAGGTTGTTTCAGTGGAAGTCCCTTAGTGTAAACGATCTTATATTTTACTTATCTATAAATGTCTATTTTCACCTTCATGAGAAATAATTTTGCTGGGCATGCAATTCTAGGTTGACAGGTGTTTCCTCCCAGTGCCTCAAAGAGGCGAAGCCAACTGCCCCCTCTGTGCTGCTTTGAGAAATCTGCTGAGGGTGGGCCGCTGGCTCCTTTGGGAGCAATTGAGCCTTTCTCTGGGACGATGTGAATGTCTCTCTTGCTGGGCTGTGCTCTCACTGTGCTGTGTCTAGGTGTGGATTTCTCTTTATTTACGCTGCTTCAAAGACATTATGCTCCCCAGATGTGTAGGTTTATGTTTTTCAGTAAATAAAGAAAAGCTTGAAGGGACACTATAAATGGGGGCTCCAAAGAAATCCAGTCCTGTAAAGTGCAGAAGCTCGTCCTTGCAAAGAACGAATGAGCCCACACAGATGCCAGCCCTTCCAGGTGTCTCAGCTGTCTGCCAGCGCAGCTTGATTACCGTTGTCCTTTGTGGCTGACGTGTTGAGGGTCTCGGTTCTCCGTCTTGAGGTTGGCTGGAACTTCCAGTGTATTGGTAACGAGTTCAGTGTCCTCTCCTTTCACTGATTGTCTTGTTGGCCTGATTATGGGGGGACTCAGTTCAGGTGGGGGCTGCAGACACTCATCTTCCCCAGCTGAGGTTGGATGCTGTCTCCCTGCCCAACCTCACGTTCACCTCCATTCTCAGTCCGGCACAGGATGGGAGATTGAGCCTGCTGGAGAATAGGGACTGGGTGGGCCGTGGCAGCCAGCTGCTGATAAAGTTGGACTTGGCGGGATGCCTGGGTGGTTCAGTCAGTTAAGTCGCTGCCTTCAGCTCAGGACATGATCCCAGGGTTCTGGGATCGAGTCCCGTGTCAGGCTCCTTGCTTGGCAGGGAGTCTGCTCTCTCTCTCTCTGCCTCTGCCTGCCACTCTGCCTGCTTGTGCGTTCTATCTCTCTCTCTGACAGATAAATAAATAAAAAAAATCTTTAAAAAAGTTGAACTTGGCATAATCAGGGGGCGTGTCATCGCAGGGCCTCACTGGGTGTCCTCTCCTGCACTCTCTCTTCTCCGGGGGCTCCTATCAGGTCTACGTCAGACTTCCTTATTCTGCTTTACAAATCTTTTCACATTTCCTTTAGCTTTTTTTAAAAAAATATCTTATTTATTTATTTGACAGACAGAGATCACAAGTAGGCAGAGAGGCAGGCAGAGAGAGAGGAGGAAGCAGGCTCCCTGCTGAGCAGAGAGCCCGATGCGGGGCTCGATCCCAGAACCCTGGGATCATGACCTGAGCCGAAGGCAGCGGCTTTAACCCACTGAGCCACCCAGGCGCCCCTCCTTTAGATTTTTCATCAACTTGTCTATGTGGTATCTGATTTCCTTGGATGTGTCTTCCACTACACTAATGCTCTCTTCAGCAGCATCTCCTCTGCTATTTAACCTACCCACTTAGTTCTATTTCAACAGTTGCATTTTTCATTCTAAAAGTTCTTTAAAAACCCTGCCCGTCCATGCTTGATAGTCTGATATTGCTTTCTCATTGCTGTGACTGGCTTCTTTATTTCTGTGCACACTTCACACATAACTGTTCCCTTGCTTGTATCACCTGGCGATTTCATTATCTGCAGTTCTTTGAGGTTTCTGTCTACTGTTTGCTGTTTTCCTTGGCCCTCATTCAGTGAGAACTTCCTGTGTGGTTGGTGATCTTTAAGCTCATTGCTTGACCTTATAAACAGAAATACTACAGGTCTAATTCCTCCAAAGTGTTAATGCTTTGGCTTCTACTGGTCTCTGAGAGGCACCACGAACCTGGGACCCTTCAGCTTATCTGAGGATTTGGGCTCAGCACCAGAATTGTGGGCTCAGTTTTCTACCTCCCCATTGGTCCAAGAGTCAGGCGCCCAGTAGCTGTGGTGCCACTGAATCCACCTGAGGGCAGCTCTGCCCTCACAGGCTGCATAGCCCTTGGCCTAAGCTTACGTCAGAAAAGAAATAGGTGACCCCCGAGAGCTTTAGACTTGTACAGCGATTTTAGAGGTCCCAGCTGCTTATAGGACCCAAAATAACACAACCAGTAGTTAAGCTGGAGCAGGTAATAACCAGGAAATGGCACTGAACCACAGCCTGGCCAGCACAGACTGGGATCCTGAAGCTGGGCCCCAGGACTCATGGCCAGGTGACTGCTGACTTTTCTTAGTCATTACAGTAAACTTTCAACAAGATGACCTCACTCAGTGCATTGTGGCAGAGTTCTAGGACGTGCAACAAAGACGCTTCGCCATTCTGTCCTTCCATTCCCGGCGAATAACACATGTGTGCATCCAAGGAGCTGTTGTGGTGTGATGTGAAATAGTTATAAATAGTGAATTCACTTGAATTTTACTTTCTGCCTTCTCTGACTGCAGATTCCAAGGTTCCACGAGTGTGCACATGTCTCGTACCCTTTCACACCCCCCAAGTGCACCCTGACCTCTGCTTTGTACACGACACTGAGCCCATCTGTTGATGAAATCTTTTGAAGAATGGGCTCTGGAATCAGCCCTCGTGCGAACTCTTCCCAATGTCTTTCTCTTGCCCCGATCGTCTGTGCTCTTGGTGCTCTGGAGGTACTGCTGTTCCTGGGCTTTTCACTGGGCGCTACACAGAGGCTTTCCTTGTCTGGGTCACTCTCTAACCTGTAGAGTCCCTGAGTACATGTGTCAGGCTGGTTTTGTCTCTCCCAGAACAGTGCACAGAGCCTGGACAAGTGTGTGCCTCGGAAACATCTGCAGAAAGCACAAATATCTTTCTTTTCCTTTTCCTTTCCTTCCCCTTTCCACCAACTGCGCCACCCAGGTGCCCCAAAGGTACAAATATCTTGAATCACTGAATTCTACTCCAGAAACCAAGACTGCACCGTATGTTAACTTAGTAAAATTTAAATTTAAAAAAAAGTACAAATATCTTAAACTTCCTTTTCTTGTACTGCCTTTAAGAGGCTGAGCAGAGCTCGCAAGCGGCATTCTCTGAAACGGTGTGAAAACACAGCAGATCTGTGTCCTCTCCTCCTCTGGCCCAGCCTGTGGTCTCTGCGGGGCATCTCTTACACCCCTCCCGAGAGACTTCACAGACACCCTTTGGTGGAGTATGTTCTGTTCTGGCTACAGGAGCTCCTACTCGGATGGAGACACACAGACATAAACTCAGAGCTTTGACACAAAATAGAAAGGGACTCTTGCCTTTTAAAAACCGCCATGGAACTAAGAAAACAATAAAGCAAAACAAAGAACCACTGATAGATAAATCTCAAAAATGTTAAGCAGAGGAAAAGAAGCCAGACATTAAAAAGTATATGTGTGGGGCGCCTGAGTGGCTCAGTGGGTTAAGCCGCTGCCTTCGGCTCAGGTCATGATCTCAGGGTACTGGGATCGAGCCCCGCATCGGGCTCTCTGCTCAGCAGGAAGCCTGCTTCCCTTCCTCTCTCTCTGCCTGCCTCTCTGCCTACTTGTGATCTCTCTCTGTCAAATAAATTAAAAAAAAAAAATCTAAAAAAAAAAAAAGTATATGTGAAATCATTCTATTTACATAAGGTTCTAGCACGAGCAGAACTAGAGCCACAGAAATGACGTCACTGGGTGCCTCTGAGGCTAAGGGAGCAATGGAGACAGTCCATTATCTTGAGAGCACAGTGGTTCTAAAGGTCAAAACTGGTTGTATTCGTTAAGTCTCATAAACCCGGCCCTTAAGATCTATGCAGTACACAAACGTGAATCACACGTCAGCAAGTGCTACCGATACGAAATCAGTCTCAGGGGACACGTGTCCTCGTCAGATTGCCCTCCTTCGGGGAAGCCTTCGTTCCCTGCTATTAAACCAGCCTTCCTTGGACTCCTTCTCCGACCGCCAGCCAGGGAGCAGCGGACACACTAGGCGCTTCCCCATGGGCGAGAACTTAAAGCGCTGGGCTGTTCCCTCATCCTCCTCATGCAGGCGGGATGAGGGACACAGCCCTCCAGGCGCAGCCAGAGTTTCACGGGTGCCGCACCCACCGCATCCTGGCCCGTTTGCAGGCTCAGTCTGTGCCATGGACGTGCTGGTGCTGGATCAGGTGTGAGCTCAGGCGGAAGGCACGGCCGCACTTGGTGCAGTGGAAAGGCTTCTCCCCCGTGTGGACCCGCCGGTGCCGGAAGAAGCCTGACAGGGCTCTGAAGGCGCGGCCACACTCCCCGCAGGCGTACGGCTTCTCCCCGGTGTGGATGCGCCGGTGCTCACTGAGGAAGGAGCTCCGGCTGAAGGCGCGGCCGCACTCCGGGCAGGCGTAGGGCTTCTCGCCCGTGTGCACTCGCCGGTGCTGCAGGAGGTTGGAGCTCTGGCTGAAGGCCTGGCCGCACTCTTGACATTCGTAGGGGCTCTCCCCACGGTGGGTGCGCTGGTGCCGGGCCACATTGGAGCTGTGCAGGAAGGCCTTCCCGCACTCGCTGCACGCGTACGGCCTCTCACCCGTGTGTGTCCTCTGGTGCTTGGCGGCATCTGACCGCTGACCAAAGGACTTGCCGCACTCAGCACATCCGTACGGCTTCTCTCCCGTGTGAGTGCGCTGGTGCCGGACAAGGTTGAAGCTCTGGCTGAAGGCGCGGCCACACTCTGGGCAGACGTAGGGCTTCTCCCCGTGGTGGGTGCGCTGGTGCCGGGCCACGTGCGAGCTGTGGATGAAGGCCTCCCCGCACTCGCTGCACGCGTACGGCCTCTCCCCGGACTGACTGCTCTGGTGTTTCACCATGTCCGAAGAGCATCTGAAGCTCCGGTCACGGGTGCCGCACTGATAAGGCCGCCCTTTGCAGGGGCCCCTCCTGCTTGCGGCAGAGCGAGCGTTTGGGGAGGCCTCTGACGGGGACGCTCTGCCGTCCAGACCGCTCTTCCCTCCATGTTTCGCAGAAACAACTGGTACCCTCAGGGAATCTCTAGGCCTGTCTCCAGCCTCCTCATTCCCACAGCCATCCAGAAGCCCCACGGCCCAGGGAGGCCCCTGAAACGGGCCCAGCTCTCTCTCTCCCTGGCGAGGCTCTTCTTCCAAAGCCTCCTGCGTTGGCGTCGGCTTGGCACTCTGAGCCCCTCGCTCGGCCACTGAAGGAGCCCAGCAGGAAGCCTGGCTGCCACCTGCCACCTGTGCCAGGGAAGCTGGAAAAGAGGATCAGAGGCGAGTGACTGGAGGCCTAAGGAAGCTCTGAGGGCACTCAGCTGCGTGGGCGTGGACAGGGTGGCGGCCACCGGGGTACGGACAGAGCTGACAGTAACGGTGTGGGGCAGACACCGGCGCCACGTCTGCCCAGCTCTCCCCCATGCCTGTGGTCCCTCCGCTGGGACTCCAGGCTGGCCTGAGCCTCTCCCCTCAGGCTCAGGAGAGCAGGAGACAGAAGCCCGGGCCTTGGGTGCCGCTGGCTCTGCTGTATGGCCTGGAAGGCAAAGAACACTGCCAGAGGAACACCGAGGCAGAGGTACCAGGAGGCACGGGTCCTCGTCCCAGCTCACTTCCCCAGCTCTGGACCCCCCAACAACTCTGTCCTTGACACCTCCCCATGACCCACCAAACTCAAAGGTCTCTGGTCCAGGCAAGTAAGAGAATCCTTCCTCAGAGACCAATCCGTGGCAAGAACAAGCAACAGCATCCGGAGCCAGCGGGCTGGACTGTGGGGCCTCCCAGGCCTGGCTGCTAGGTGGTGAGGCTGCTGGTTGCCCCTGGCCCTGCTGGCTCCTGGGCACAGACCACACGCCCATTAAGACAAATGGCTTTAGGGATGTGGCCACAAGACAGAATGCCAGGCAGTTCCTGCCACATTTACATGGCCTGCAGGGGCCCCCGGGAGGTGAGACAAGGTTGGTTCCTTGCAGGTAGCTCAGTAGGAGGGCCCCCAGGGCACTTTCTACAGGGACTGAGGGGGCTGTGCCTGCACCGCTGTAACAGGGCACCTGTCAAGGACTGAGCCCGCCCAGGTGATAGAGGCTCCTGTGTGGGGGGCGGGGGTGGGGCAAGGCCAGGATTCCCAGGGGCAGTGGAGCGGGCAGGCACCCACAGCCGCTTTCCATCGACTTCCTAACTAACTAACTAGTTAGGGGGCTGTCCACCTGAGCGCCTGGAGATGGGGAGAGACCCCAGGCACAGGGCCAAGAAACAGGAGGCCCTCTAGGAAGGCCCAGTCTGGTCGTGAGGTTTGGCAGACTTAGAAGTTCAAGAAAACAACTCAGAGGCACTGGTTTTGAAGGAAGAATTATTCAGAATTAAAAGCGGGGGGGCACATACACCCTTTCCAGTTCCAGTGGGTCAGGTCTTGGGTCCTGCCTCCTGAGGCCATCCCAGCCCCCAGCAGGCAGCCCTGCGTGTGTGTGTGGGTGTGGAGGGGGGATCCTCTCAGTGATGAGCTCCCAGGGTGCCCTGAGGAGCCCTAAACTTGGAGGCCTTGTTCCCGACTGGGGCAGTTGTACCCGTGGGAACCATCTCTGGTTGTCACAACTGTGAGAGGTGGTCCTGGCCTTCTGTGGGTGGAGGCCAGGGATGCTGACTATTCTAGAATGCCCAGGACACCTGGGAGGACACGAGAAGTCTTCCATCCCAGGATGTCCAGTGCCAAGGCTGAGAAACCCTGTTGGAGGGAAGTCTTCCCAAAAGGTTGGAACTTGGTTTCGAACCAAGACACTCAGTGCCCTGGCAAAAGCTGCTGGTCTCCCAACTGACGTGCACCAGCCCCATCAGCCCTACCACCGGTCTCACGCTCCCCTGCACCCTGCTTTCAGGCCACAGACCACAGGGCATGTGCTTGGGACCAGCAACCAGGACACGGTGGTCCCATTTGCTTTATAAATGTGTGCTTTGTTGTGACCTGTTTCTTCTCCGCCACTCTGTGTATGTTGACATTTGCTGAAACCGTTACTTGGTCCAAAACCGCAGGACCGTGGAGAGCCCCGTCGGGACAGATCTGGCCAGGATGAAGGTCAGATAAGGTAGGCTGGGCAAGCCCGGGACTTGAAGGGCAGCTTCATGGCAGGACCCAAAGAAGGGACGAGCGTGTGTTCGTGGACACGGCGGCTGAATCACCTGACACAGGGGTTCTCGGGCTTCCGGGGAGAACGGGTGCAGGTGTGTGGGCAGGGGGTCCGCAGTACGTTCTGGGGCCAGGGTCTACCCCAGCCCGGCTCCCGCTGCTGAGCACACGGCACCGGAGCCGGGAGGTGGGAGAGCCTGAGGCAGCACGAGCGCCCCTGCTGCGCGGGGGTCGGCCATCGTCCCAGGCACTGCTTGTCCCAGGCCGCAGTGACAACGGTAAGCGGGACAGGAGTCCTCAGCTTCGACAGCCCGTAATCAAGGCCTTAAACCTTCAGGAAAGAGGGGGGCCTGGAGCCTGGGAGGGCTGTGGATGGGAGGCTAGCCAGGTTTTCTCTCCATACTCTTCCGGGCCTCCTCGTCTGAGCCCAGGCTAGCCGGGCCCTGAGAAACGGGGCCAGAATTAACAGTCTCGTTCTCAGAAGTCTCCAGGCAGGGGAGGGGCAGAGGAAGAGGGGTGCAGAGTGTGGCCACAGAGCAAGGGGATGGAACGTGGAGTGGCGAGGACGGCAGGCAGTAGGGGTGGGAGCTGTGTTAGGCAAAGAAAGGGACAGGAAGTGCTGCCCGAGCCCAGCTACATCCCCTAGCAGCCAGGCAGGTGGGCTCTGGGAGCCCCGATTCCTAAGCTGTTCCCTCCTCCCTAACCCCACCTTGCTGCCCACCCCTCACCTGTGTGTGTGTCCATCAGGGTAGCCCTCTCCGTGGTGTTCTGGAGACCCAGGCCTGGGGGCTCTCCTTGCCGTGCCTTACAGAAGCACCAGGAGTGGGGATCCCTGCCTGGGTAAGAGAGAAGACAAGGGGAGAAAATGACAGGGGAGGTGGGGTGAGCGCAGAGCCACTGCTGGGGACCGCACCGGCCTGTGTCTGCCACGAGAACTCGAGGTCATGACTAAACGGACACCCCACTAGCTAGGGCTCCACAGGGTGCAGTCTGGGAGCGCCGTCTGGACCACGCTGGCGTCCCTGAGCCCTGCCCCGGCGGGCTGGGAGCACAGCTGGAGGCGGCAGCCCCGGGCTAGCTGCCGGCCTGGTCCTGCTCCTGCTCCGCCTCGAACAAGCCCAGCGCCCGCTGGTCAGTCCTCAGGTGTCTGGAGACACATCTAGGGGTGGACGGCTTTTTGGGTAATTATAAAGATCTGATCATAAAATTACGAAACCAGGGAAACAGGAAATGACCGGTGCAGGTCTGGCCTGAGGATGACCCCCGCGCTCAACATCCGAGGCACCGCCTGGCAGATGCGAGCTCACGAGGAAGTCCAGTGCGGACACGAGAGAAGGAAAGAAAGAACCTGGGGCGGGGGCAGGGGTCGGTGGCCTGTTCCTAACACAGGTTCGCGGCCTTGCTCCGTGAGGAGCACGACACACTGGTGGGAAACCAGGGCGAGCGGGTGAAGTCACCACGTGACCCTCGGAAGAGCTGGCAGGTGGCCAGTGCCGTGTTGGACGGAAGTTCCTCGTCCGACCCCCGATTCGCAGCGGAGGACGGTGACGCAGGGCGCCCGGGCGCTTCGGTCAGGTACCGGCCTGCCTCCGGCTGTGGTCAGGCACGATCGCGGGTCCTGTGGTCCGGCCCGACCGGCTCCCTGCTCGGCGAGGAGCCTGCTTCCCCTCTGCCCGCCGCTGCCCCGTTTCTCTTCCTCTGGCAAATCAGTAAAATCTTCAAGGAAACACCACGTTCCTACTCTTCGGGACGGTAACACCTGCGGGGAGCGACCCCACACACCGCGGCGCCGGGAGCGCGACCCGCACGGACGCTGCGCCTCCAACGTGCCGCCGAGCAAGCCGAGGGCCTCGTTTCAACGAAAATCTGGGCCGGAAAGGGCCGGAGCCGCGGGGGACGCAGCGGCCCCCGGCGACCACCAGGGACCAGGGGCGCCGTCCCCGCCGCCGTCCCACTGGTCGGGGTACCCTGAGGCCGTCCCACTGGCTTGGGTGGGGGCGGGGCTGTCCGGGGCCGCCGCACCGGTCGGGGGCCGGTCCCGGCTGTCACACGGTAGTAGGGAGCCGTCCCCACGCCGTCTCGCTGCTCAGGGCGCGACTCCCCTCCGGCTGTCACTCCCCACGGCGCACGTGCAGCTCTTCCGAAGCGAGCGCCCCGCATAAGCACACGCGTCCGCGCCTAAGCCCCAGGTCCCCGCTCCGGGGGGGGGGCCCGCAGCCGGACACCGCCACTCACCTGCAGCCCCTCCGCTCCCCGGAACCGCCGCCGTCCCCGGCGCGGTGGCGCGGCACTTCCGGTGACGCTCTAGGCGCCAGGAGGACTATGTACCTGGCTACCCGGGCGGCCGCGGCACGGGCACTTCCGGTGACGCTCTAGGCCGCAGGAGGGCCGTGCACCTCGCTGCTCCTCGGGTCGGCTCCCCAGCTTGGCGGCCCGGGCGCTGGCTCCGGTTGCCGCGTCTTCACGGACCCCACCGCCGCCCCGCTGCGGCCCGCCGGCCTCTCAGAGCCGCGACCCTCCCAAGTCTTTCCTCCCTCGCCTCCAGCCAGGCCCGGGTGGGGTCGGGGGCCGCGGGATGAACGAAGGAGCGGACGAAGGCCGTGCGGGCCGACAGGGGTTGGGGAGGGGTGGGCCGAGTCCGGGGGCCGTGGGCGGGGGCGCAGCGGCGCCGGGCAGGGTGTGGGGAAAGCTCCCTGGGCAGGGGCCGCGAGCGCCCGCGGCGGGGAGGGAGCCCCGCAGCCGCCCCCTCCGGGCGCGCGGCCCCCGCTCGGCAGCCGGACCCCCCTTGCGCCCGCTGGGCCTCCCCGCCGACCTTCCGCGCCGCGCACTGGGGGCCGGGGACCCGCCGTGCGGACGCTGGGCTTCGCTGGGGCAGACGTCGGGCGCGAGCGGAGCCGGTGGGGACTTGGGGGGACGTGAGCCCCGCGTGGCCTGGGGCCCGGGTGCGGCCCTGCCAGAGGCGGGTGGGGGGCGGCAGGGGCTTGATGCCGGCCCAGGCCGGTCCGCCGCTCGCAGGGACGCGGCCGGGATCTGGCCCCTCCGGCTGTGTGCGGGCGTGTGCGGGCGTGTGCGCGGGGGACAGGGCTCAGTGAGGACCTTCCGGCTGCCGCTTGCGGCGGGAACAAGCGTCGGCCGTTCGGAGGCCCGTGTGCTCGCCCCTCGCGGGGAAACCGCACTCTGGGGGCGCCCGGGGGGCCCAGTCAGTGGAGCGACTGTCTCTGGCTCGGGTCGTGATTCTGGAGTCCCAGGATCGAGTCCCGCATCGGCTCCCGGCTCAGCGGGGAGGCCGCGTCTCCCTCTGACCCTCCCCGCTCTGTGATCTCTCTAAGTCTTTAAAAAAATAAATTAAGAAAAAATGATGTTCCTTTAGCTTCCCTACCTTTACGATCTCCATTTTTTTGGGTCAGGGAGTCGGGCCCAGCCCAGCCACGTCTGTGTTTGGGTCTGTCCCAGGGTGCCCTGAAGGTGTGGGTGGGGGCCAGGTCTCTCCTGAGGCTCCAAGGGGTAGCGTCTGCCTCCAGGCTGGGGCTGTTGGCGGGATTCAGGTCCTGAGGGTGGGAGTTGGGAGTTTCCTGGCGCCCCTCCCCTCATCGGCAGGGATGCGGGCTTTCCCATGGGCACTGCATTCTGGGGTTTCTCAACACAGTGGACGCTCTCATGTTTCATCACTGCTGAGAAACCTTCACAGCATCTTCCACACGTGTGCGTCACGGGGCTTGGGTCTCGAACAGCATGTCCCTAAGGCACCATACGGTTGTCTCTCCGTGCCCCAGGAGCTTTCCTGTCAGTGACTTCTGTGGCCTCTCTTCAACCTCCTCGTTCAGACAGAAACCCCAGAGCACGGAGGGCCCCTGGAAACGTTCACCTGCTCCCTGACAGTGATCCTCTCTACAAGCTTCTACAAAAGTCTCTTGCACTGGTGTCTGCCCTGTGTCCTTAACCCCACTCACCAAACAGAAGCACAGGCAGTGAGTGGCCCCTGGTGCCAAGCAGGAAGAAGGGGATTGTCATAGCTGGGCTGGGCCAGCAGTGGCGGCCATGGAGGGCGCTGGCTCTCCAGGAGCTAGGAATTCCATGCCATCTGCTGTGCCCAGCGCGCTCTCACCTTTATCAGCCTGGCGCTGGCCTGTCACCCCAGCATGTCCAGCACCACCTCTCCATCTCCCAACCATGGGACCTGCTGTCATTCCCCGAACCTGCCAGGCCTGCTCCTGCCTTTCTCCCAGCCTTTGCTCCTTCTGCTTCCCAGCCGAGGAAGCTCCACTGGCACTGTCCACAGACTCGTCCCCTCTCCTACTTACCAAACACAGGTCCTACACTGCCCGAGCAGGGACCGCAGTGAGGTGTCCGCTGCGTCTGTCGGCTGGTCACTAGCTAGGGATCATTTTGATTACATGGTCCAAGCGTTGTCTGGGTTTCCCACTGTGTGGTTCCTCTTCTCCCTTTGCAACTAGTAAGCCATCCTCGAGGAGCAAGGCAGGGGAGCTGATGACAGTAGGAACCGTGAGGACACGTGGCAGCCGGAGGCAGGATATGGCCGCTGGATAGGAGAGGATGCACCGCAGTGGCAGCAGTGGACACAGGCAGAGCTGGGGGCAGGGACTGTCCGGTGGCTCCGTAGAACACCCGAGTGTAGGAAGCACACACAAAGGCATTAGGAGACCAACGCACTTGGTGTTTGCAAAGCATTTAAAAAGGTCTGGGAGAAAAAGATCCGTGTAGATAAAAACAAATTTGAAGAGTACATTTCTGCCACACAGGACTACTGTGACATCTGTTTGTCTCCGTTTCCCAAATTTTCTACAAAATACTTTGCCTCTATAATATAAAAAAATGGGCTGGGGTCCACTTCCTGTCTTGCAGGAACTGCTTTGACAACCAGGAGGCAGGAGAGGGCTTTCTCTCTGCCGGCTAGAGCGGTGACCCCATCCCGGCCTGCGCGTTATTTTTCTTTTCCAGCAGGTTCCGGTGGGGGGGGGGGGAATCCGAGGGACCTATTACTTGCTTCTCTTCCCTCATACATTCTGGCAAGAGCATGCCTTGACTTCTGGGGAGCACTCCTCTCCCTCTGTTCCCCTAGATCGTTTTGGAGCCCGAGGCCACACGGGGCACTGCAGGGATGAGAGGTGGGAAGGGCACAGGGAGACTTGGGCGGAGCAAGGTTCTGGTCCTCACCAGGAAACCTGGATTCCCTGGGTTGCTAGAGCATTGCTTGCCCCTATGGGCTGCCCCCAGTCCTTCCAAGCCTGGGGGCGCCCCAGACGCTGCTGAGGAGTTCCTGTTGCTCACACTGTTGCCTTGGCAGTGGTCCGCTTGACTTGGAGCATCCAGGCCCTGGGTCCGGGCAGGTGCCTGGAGCAGCAGAGAGGTGTCAGCCAGGCCGGACCCCTGCTGAGGGGGTGCGGACCAGAGTCTCGCCGACTGGTCTGCAGCCCCTGCCGTACATGGGGTCTGTCCCTCTGCTGGTGCAGCCTGTCTGTAGCCCCTCACTGTGTCTGTCACTCCTTCTGGTAGTAAGGTCCCTGAGAGAGAGACACTATTTTGCAGAGGAGAAAGTGGGGGTTTCCCGAGGAAGGAGCTGGCACATGGGTAAAGGAAGTGACAGCCTCACCGAGTCAGGATAATCCTGGCTGCTTTGGTACTAAGACACCAGCACCCAGTCTGTGGCTGGAAACCAGCTGGAAACCAGCTGGCGGGCTCTGCTCCATCGGTCTTCCTCATTCCCGGCCCAGGCTGACAAAACACTGCTGGTCACTAGGCAGAGGGCAGAAAGAATTTGGAGAAAGCCTGCTGGCTCGTCATGGTTCCCTTTTATCGCAAGCTGTAGGTGCAGCCAGGTTCATGGGGACTAGGGTGTGTCATCCTGCTGTGACCTGAGGGAAAAGATGAGGGCCAAGACCACGGAGGACAGCCCTGGCTGGTGGCCAGCAGTGGGACCAGGAGGGAATGAGCCCAGGCCATCTGAAAATCCCACCCCCACCCCAGGATAGTACTCTTCTGGCCCAAAAGAAGTTTCACAATCCCAGTGTGAAGAGGGCAGAATGGAGATCACAGGCTGCGCGGCCCAGAGCTTCCTCAGGACCCTGAAGCCCAACCCGTCCTCCTCGGCCTCTCCGGCCAGGCCCCGGCCTCCTCTGGAGCCTCTCCGGTCCGACAATCCCCAAGGGCAGCCCGCCCGTCCAGCCTCCGCATCTCGTGTGCCGAGGCTTTTCCCGGCCGCCGGCATCCGCAAACGCCCACCACACGCTGCACTACTTATTTCTAACAATAAAAAACACGTAAAAATTAAGACATTTTAAAAGGATGATCTCGAAGGAGAGAGTTTTCCCTCCGCATTCCAGGGAATACCTCGGGTATTGTGGCGGGCGGCTCCTCCCACAAGCGGTGCTCCCAGCGACAAGTCCGGCCTCCGCTCCCCAGCCTTGGCTCCCACCACCCGCTGGACCCCCGCCCCGCCCCGGCCGCCGGCCCCCCCGGCCCCGCCCCCGGCGCAGGGTCTCCCCCGGCCGCCGGCCCCGCCCCCTCGGTGCTGCAGGACAGTCCCCCCGCCCCGAGCCCGCGATCCCAGCACTGAGACGGGAAGGGCTGCGCGACCCTGCCCCCTCCCTGCTGCCCCCCCGCCGACGGCCCGGGACGAGCTGCCAGGGAGCGGACGAGTCCGTGTCGCGGGGCAAGGACCCGGACCAGGAGCCCGCAAACTATGTGAGGGGCCGGACAGGACGCACGATTTGCGTAGTAGCCCTTCGTAAGAGCCCTTTGGCAATGGAAAGACCGTCGGCGCCCGACGGCCGCAGGAAAGCTGGGCGGGAGCTTCGGTCCGGGGGCTGCCGGGGGGGGCGGTCCGCGCCGCCCTCGGGTCCTGCGCTTCCCCGCGAGTCTGTCCACCGCAGGCCGCTGGGTCTCCCGCTGGTAGGGCCCGGCTAGCCTGGCCCGGGGTGAGAGCGCACCCCCGCGTCTGGCGCGGCCGCCGGGCTGCCGGGGCTCCGAGGGCCGACGGCGCTGGGTCAGGGGCCGGCAGCCGCGGGAGGCGCGTCCGCGCTCCGGGCGCGCACGGGGCCGCTCGCCGCTGTGGGGCCGCGGGTGCGGCGTGAAGGGCGAGCTGTGCACGAGGCTCTCCCGGGCTCGCACGGCTTCGCGCGCGTGGGCCTGCGCCCCTGCTTCACCGCGTCCGGCCGGTGGCCAAAACCCCTCCAGCCCCCAGCGCCCTCGGGAGGCTGCTCCCAGCCGGGAAGCTTCCAAGGCTGGAGCGCGAGGGCCCCGCGCCGGGTGACCTTGCGGGACTCCG